GCCCTCCCTGCCGAATGGAGTAAGGAGTCTTCGCTCATCACATTTGGGTCAATTCCAAGGATCAGCAGTTTCACGGGAGACTGGGGTCTAGTACCGCAGGACTTCGTCAGATGCATTGAAATGCCAGAACGAAGCAACTGGTGATTCGCCCTTCGTGATTTTCGTTCATTAACGAATCGGCTTGGAATGATCGTTCCCCCAAAAGCTGGAAGAGGATCTAACTCAGCTTGAAGCCTCTGCATACACAAACACTGCTTGCAGGCGGCCCGTATTAAAAAAAAAAATACGCAATCTCATCCACAGTCGCAAGCCAGCGAAGTGTAACCGAAGGATCTATTGCATGTGACTCAATCGCGCATTGCCAGTGAAGTCTGCCAATGTCGCATTGCCACTGAAGTCAGCCAATGATGTCAAGACCTTCCGATAGAAGAGCATTGGACAATACAGCTGACCGTCCTTCATCGACATTGATCCTCTTCTCACCGTTGTTTTGTTTATCCTCAACTTGCGCCATCCTCACCGGTAGCTACCCCGATGACATGCACGATGGAGCCGAGCCGACTAAGGGAAAACAGTGGAACATACGCGCAGTTGCACAACAACATCATCGAGGAAGCTTCTACCTACTTTTCCCCCGAACATAACGCATGTGGTTTGTATTCAAGTTTCCGAATATGGAAAAAAAAAATCGAATCAAACGCATTTACATTATTTTCGAAAATCGGGGTTGTTCGAATAGAACGCAGGTGCATGCACCACCGGCTTCCGCTACCGCCACCTCAACCTTAACTTTGGATATACAGCACTACGCTGCAACACTCAGTTGCCCTTTCTCCCTTCGATTCAATCCCCCTCTGCATGTAGATCATTGTCTCCAACTCAGCCATTTGTTACGTAGAACATAAAGCATGACAGAAAGTGCGTCGACAAGTAAGTCAGGACAAAATGAGAGTGCAGACTCGGAGCTGGCTACACGCTGGTCAGTCACCAATCAACACTAAGGGGGCCAACAACAGCAACGGCATCATCACATTGCCCTTTATTTAACACACAGGCACATACCCAGAAAGGACCACCGCGAGATTTCCAGCTCTTGGACCGCGAGATGTCCAGCTCTTGGAGCCCACTCGATTGAACCTTCATAGCTGGTCAAGCCGCTCTCCGATCCTTACGATTCTCCACCCGCCTCTCAAATCCCCCTTCGAAGGGCCTCCAAGGATGACGTCAGCAAATAAGTGCTCACCTCGCGATAACAACCGCGAGATTCCCACGTCAGGAGCCCATCAAAACGAGAAATCTTGTTGTCCCTCGTTTGATCATCGTTACCCACAGTTCCGCTTCTCCAAGATCCTTAATCCCCCCCCCCTCTACCGTCTTCACCAGAATAGAACGCCCGGTCATTATCGCCGCATCTGGACTTTAAAATGCCCCAAATACAGGTATAATGACAGGGCATTATAATTCGGGTGAAGACGGTAGTATTCCCAGTTATATGTATGGCCTAGAAAAGATGAACGGGCCTCAACAACGCAAAGCGCTCCGCAGGCGTTTCCATTAACGGGACAACTACCCCTGTTTCTCACCATAGCAACAGTTGGGTGGGTGTTCTGTACTCACCATAGAAAACTATCCCTGGAGCCGGCAAAGATTTAAACTACGTCATGCCGCGTCACGTGATCTACAAATGCCAAAACCGAAAATCAAACGTCGGAAATGATTCCATTCCTCTTGCAAACATTGCAGATATCACCACGTACTTCTCCTCTTGCAAACATTGCCAACCTTTCACCGAAAAATCAACCGTAACGTCAAGCAACAAATGTTCCATACTGCTGCCCAATAGACCCCCGGGCACGAAACAACGGGCCCATAGCTCAGCTGGCACACCTACGAACCGTTGAAATACAGACTCCAAACCCGAGGCACGCACAATATACGACCTCCACAAATCAGATTGCCCTAAGACGAATGCTCATTCACTGCCATTCAGTTCAAAAATAAAGCCACCCTTAACATGACGAACACACGTAAGCACACCAGCCCTCTCTACCTCGCATATCGCCGCCAAAGAAGTATCACTACGTCTCAGTTCGTCCTCAAGTAGATTCACACCGTCAGGCACACTTGCATCCCCTCCCTCAGCCAAGTCCGTTGCCGACAACAACAACCGCAGTCAGCCTTTCAATCACGAGCTCAACACGGTCGTGTGCGTTTCGCAAATGTCTCTCTCTCGCAGATGCCAGGAAGCAGTTTTCACAAAGTGCAACTGGAAAAAAAGGCGAACAGAAAACACCAGCCAAAAGGCATATTATCCCAATCACAGCACCAAGCGGCAAAATCCTCTTCTTCACTAATCGAACAAACGAACGACCACGTGTTCTCTGTAGCAAACAAACGAGAAATACAGCAAAAATCCTTCCTGAGAAATACAGCAGCAGCCTCTAATTCGACAAATTGCATAGGTGCTGCTATCCCGCCGTAATCGAAAGACCGTAAAATTTGTTGAAATTTGTTGAGCCTACACATCAACTATCGGTACTGAAGGGCAAAAAAAACGAAAAAAACATCCTACACTCCACAGGCAGTTGTCGATAATCAACGCCGACAACAAACAAAACAAAAGTCTTTACACTGCAATCTACCAAACGGCTGAACTCGGATGACGATCGACGCGCACCCAATGGCCGACGTCTGTAAAGCTCAGATGAAACGCATCGCCTGCCATACCCTACTCTCCTTCCTGGTTGCAAAAAGACGCCAACCGCATCTTTGGACTGTCAACAACCCTTGTGGGATTGCCAATACAAAGCGAAAACTCCCACGGAGTCCCACCCCGGCACAAAACCTTACGTCCGCGGAAAGAATCCTATCTCTAGTTCCCTGCTGGAAGGCCAAACTCATTAAAGAGCGAAATAGTTTAATTCTCTCTCTCTCATCGTTTCGTTACAGATAACGATACGGTTTCTTTCTCTCTCTCTCTCTCTCTCACACACACACACAGAGAGTCCATACAAATACGGCGAAAACCGGCTCAACTTCCTAACGAGTCGGTGAAAGTGCGACGACAGTCTGCCACAGTCACGCTTTTCCGGGGGGGGAATGTGTATAACGAACATCACCACAGACAAACACACAGCCACAGCAATACGAAGCGAATAATATTCACCCTTCATTCAACCAGCACACAAACTACAAGCAAAGAACGGATCACACGACCTCCTGTTCCGCGTTTCCTTCTCGCATCCCCAGCCAGCTCTCCTGAAGTGCCTCCCCCCCCAATCTCTCTCTCTCTCTCTCTCTCTGTGTGTGTGTGCTTGCGTATACATGTGCGTGTGCGGAGCTAGAGCGCCCGCAGACTTCCGAAATAACCTTAAGTTCATCATGGATGACGGCGAAATCGAGAACGACGTCGATTCCGTTCGACCGCAACATCAAGAAATGAACCGTTCGAACGTTCAAACGCAAAGATTCCAGCGAGAAGTTGCACGGAAGGATCCCACGACGATAACAGAACCGACCAAATGACATTTGACGTTCAGAAGGGGACCTTTCGGGCGCATGAATTCTACAGACCACATGCGATCGCTTCTTGTGAAGATGCCATCTTGGATAAGCAAATACAAGACACCATCCAGCAAGAAAAATAAAGAACCGACTTCAGCACGGCTGAATTCTCGGACAAACTCTTCCTTCTTGTACCCGCGTTGTACGCAGACTTTGTAGTGGGGCGAGACAAAAAGAAGTGAAACACATAAAAGAAAGCAGAGCTGAAAAGATCTATACATACCTTTGCCTACCCGATGACGGCCGGTAGCGTCGTGATGGTGCAATCTTAGGAGCTGGTGCCACGTCATTGACAGTGGTTCTTCCATGCGGTCACACATCTTCAAATGATCTTGCCACGTCGTCGCATTGGCGGTAATCTTCATCGCGCAGTTAAGCACGTGGCAGCAGCCGGATGGAAGCAGAGCTTGTCAAACTGTTGAGTCAACTGTTGCTTCAGCTACAGCAGTCTGATAGCAGCTCTCGGCTCATTACGAGCAGCAGCAGCAAGGAGAAAATAAGACCAAGCTCAGGGCTCTCCCGGCGTTGGCGACAGCCGACGACGCAGTATGGCGCAAAACACGAAAAGAACGACAAAAGACACAAGACAACCGTCTTATCGGGAGGACCGTTACCTTACGCAACACCCTCCAAGACAAGGAACACCACAGCACCAGATCCAGCAGCCAGATGATACGCACGCACGTAGGTAGGTGGGTACAAGGAGTGTGAAAGGGAGCAGTAGGTGGGTTTCGGTTCGTTCTTTTCTTCTTTCTTCTCGTTCCAACCACCACCCGGTCGTTACCGCAGCTCTCTGCCCACTCCGATTCGAAGTGATCGAATGCATAACGAACGGACCAAGCTGCGACAAAGCCAACACAACACATAACCAAACAAACAACGCAGCCACATCCAGCAACATAAAAGCAGAACACACAACGTACAAAACCATGGATAGTGGGACATGAGCATGCAAGAGACGTGGTTCCGCCACAGCCGACGAGTTCGGACAAGCATTCACAACTCTGCCGAAAGAATAATATAACCTTTCCCCTCCCCCCCCACTTAACTTCCCCGTTTGTGCAAAAGTGACCTGATCCTACCGACCCCCCCTTCCCTCACCATTCCCGCCCATGTTAACGTTCAATCTTCGTTGCAGCGGCGTTCGTCGCTATATCTCAAAATCGACCACCGTCTGCAACCGCCAACCACAAAAAAAGAGAACCTACATTCTTTGAACCTGAAGCGAAGACACAGCACACGACTACATTCTCCGAACCTGAAGCGAAGACACAGCACACACGACAACCACAATGTTGCAATACACATAAAACAACTTTTAACTAGTTCGAAAAATTTCACCATGAAGGCACCACCATTCATTCATTGCACGCCCCCATCGGATAGACGCGGTGGGTTACGTTGTTTATTAACAAAAACAGCGAAACGACAATCACGTTGGAGTGAGCACTTTGTTGTCTTTCCTCAATTACGGCAGCCGGCTCTACTGACCAACGTATAAATCACATGATGGTTACGAATGGGCCAGACCAAAGTCTCCTTCACCGAGAACAACAAACCACAAGCCACAAGTTGAGGTCGAAGTCCACTCTCGTGGAGACAGCCAAAGTAGTGCCATCTACTCTCCCATATACCACATACCACAAAATTAACGTACATTTACGATCAAGACATAAGAAAAGAGGCAATTAGGGTTGACAAAGTAAACACGTGCCAGGCAAAAAATATCGTTCCGCACCAAGATTTTCAGCTCATTAACATCTCTCAACGTCATTCGTTCACGGAAGAGGGTTCGTTACAAGGACAGCAAGTGAAGGACGGCGAAAGAGAGATACATAACCGCACCCTTCATTAACACATCAAGACAGAGTCCTCCTTTCTTGCCGTAGATAGCATCGTTACACATGTCGTCATGACCTCACACAATACATCGCTACAAAATACATATACACTGTTCCCTGCACTCATTCCATTTGATGGTTATTTCCGTCCCGCCAGTGGCTCTCCAATCCTCATCAAGCGTCCTCGACATAGCTTTCGGGGCAACGCCATCGCCATCGCACTCTCCTTTGGGAACAGAGTCTTAAGCCGCAACAGCACAAACGAGAAAAAACTCAACAGGCAACGAAACCACAGTTTTTCCTATGCGCAGCGCTCCCCCAGTCGCCCACCCCAGACCAGCGTTTTTCGACCGCAAAGCTTTCAAAAGAGTGTGGAACCCACAAATACAGGAGAGAGAGGGACAGAGGCTCTTAATCATTCCAAGGCCTAACACCGCGACACTCTTGCGAAGCCGAGCGCGCGCGCACACAAATTCATTTTAGTGAGCGAGTACGCAGAAAGTGCAACCGGACAAAGAAGAAACACGATTTCGTCTTTTTCTTTCCCACGGCGGAACATAAACCACATCATTCAGAGGAAAGGTGTCCGTGGGTATCATTATCCATCAGAAACAAGCTCGCCCTAGACCATAAACGACGACGCAGCGAAACCGGGAGAGACAAAAGGTGGAGGTGGGGGGGGGGCTGTCTCTTATACACATCTAGATGTGTATAAGAGAGGGGGAGGGAAACGAGGCAGACGGCAGTCACGCCGTCGTCCTTTCTCGTCTAGTCCCGTAAGAGTGTCTTCTCACCCTTTATCCCGATCGAGAACGGAGGAAGCAGACCATGGAAGAAGCAGAGCGGGTTAACCTTACAAAACAGGATGCAGAGCGCAAAACGACGACGGTACTCTTCGAAGGAGGTAGGATACCTTCCATGGCGGACCGGATACCTTCCATTGCGGACCCGATACCTCCCATTGCGGACCCCAATGACGACGGTGAAGAGGAGACGACGGAACTGCATTTTTACACCGTTCCACAGGAGAATAGTTGATCGGTAATAAAAGTTCAACCCCAAAGGAAACAAAACAATTACACTTCCGCACTTCTTTTGCCCTCTTCTTGTTCTCAACCCTGGCAAGACATCCCCATCCAGAGCAGCAGACACACGTACGGAGCACCGTGACGGCTAGTAGGAGTCGCTTTCCAGGTTCCCCCCAGGGTCCTCTCTCTCTCTCTCTCTCTCTCACACACACACACACACAACACAACCACGCACACACGCACGCACACACACGAACATTCAACACACAACACACGCCCGTGCACAGTCTCTCTCTCGCACACAAGGAGTCCGCGCCTCTCACATCTGGGCACTTAACCAAGTTCACCAAAAGCAGTTACACAGAAATCGTCTCCAGGAACCGCTACCTCACCTCCAACATGACCTGAGAGAAATGTTCCGCCTGTACTTTTTATACTTTTTCTTCACCATCCAACCCTCCTCTACGTCAGTGCACACGAAAACAGGACAACACGCCTAGTGCTTCCCCATCCAAAATTCAAACGAGATTTACCGCAGCAGCCTTTCGTATGCCAAACCCTAATACGGCGCATAACTCATTCTTTGCCCCCCGCGCCAACGAGATGGCCCCGGTCCTGGCAGCTGCTGATGTTTCCCCCCAGCCCCTGCGGCACTCGCAGGGGGCCCTCCCGGGACAGCACCCGCAGCAGCATGCGGATTCGCTTGATGACCAGCCTGCCCAAGGTGATGCCCATATTGTTGAGCCGGTTGTGGCTGCGCCTGTGACTGCTGTTGCGGCTGACTCTGTGCCTGCTGCTGCTGCTGCTGCGGGGCACCCGACTGCTGCTGTACCTGACTTGTCTGTTGCTGCTGCTGCTGCTGCTGTTGTGGGGGCGGCCCAGGCCCCACTCGCTTCGCATCCGCCTCACCCACTCGCTTCTTCTCTACTTTCATTGTTCTCCCTCCATCCACCACCATCCCACTTATTCCTTGAATCGCCCGGTCTGCCGCCGACACGGAGTCCAGCGACACAAATCCAAACCCTCGGTTCCTTCCCGTTTCCTTGTCAACTTCCACCCGAGCGGCGAGTACCGACCCGAACGACGAGAACAACCGCGAGAGTTTGGCGTCGCCATAGTCCTCAGGGATTCCGTACACGAAGAGATTGGCTCCAGGGGGTCCTGCATCCGTGACGGCATTCGGCGCTTCGGAAGCATTGGCTGCATTATCTCCAGGAACAGCCCCTACGACTGGACCCGCACCTGGTCCAACGCGCGGTCTGGAATGCAACCCAGGTCCAGCCGGTACCATTCCTCCCACCCCCATCCCACCGTCAGCGACAGCCTGCATTCCAGCTTGCGTCTGTTGCTGCAAAAGACCTGCCTGCTGCTGCGGCTGCTGTGGCTGCTGCTGCTGCTGGTGATGGTGCTGGGGATGGTGCTGCCCCTGCGCACCCAGCATAGCCTGCTGGCCCTGTTGAGAACCGAGCGGCACTCCTACATCGTTTGCCCCTCCCGCTACCTGCGGTTGCGAATGCGGCGGTGGACCTTGCTGGCCGAACTGCTGCTGTTGGGCATAGTACGACCGCTGTTGTTGCTGCATATGCATCTGGTGCTGTTGCTGAGTGTGCGGAGTCAGATGCTGCTGCTGGGGATGTCCTGCTCCACCTGCTCCGGTTTGGTCGTAGCCCCCCGGAGTATGCACGCTGCCTGCGACCTGCCCGAGTGACTGCTGACTCGCGCCCGGAAGCTGTTGCTGTTGCTGCGTCATCTGTTGCTGCGAATGCTGTTGATGGTGCTGCGAATACGCCTGTGCTGCTCCCACACCTCCCTTGGCCCCTGCTGCTCCTGAGAGATGTTGCGGTGTCATTTGCTGCCCCTGCGACTGAGCTTCGAGTGCGGCAACGGACTGCCCGTGCTGCCCCTGGACGACATCTTGGTGATGGGTGTGTGGCCCTGCTCCCACTCCAACCACTCCACCTGGCAACTGCCCTCCAACCGCCGTAGGCACCGGCGTCGGCGCCGGCGGCGGTTTCTCCCACTGCGTCACTCCAGTGTTGGGGTTGTGGTAGAACGGCCTACCGTCGGGGGCGAAATGCTCTACCCATTCCTCAGCGGGCGTCGGCGCAGCAGCCGGCATCGTAGAAGGCGACACGCCGAGAACAGACGCAGGAGCACCTGCCGCGGACGCCATGCCACTGGATCGCACCCCAGCCACTCCCGAGTTCATGTCGTTCACTTCCGTAGTTACCATGCTCCCTCCAGGGGCACCACGAATGGCGTTCGACGGGTCCATTCCACGACTTCCAGGAATACTAGCTCCGCTCCTTGCCCCGTCCGAGAATCCGCCGCCGCCGCCTCCTGCTGCAGGCTGACTTCCCCACATGTGAATGCTATGGGAGGGAGGCGGGCGCGGAGGTGGCGGCGGAGGCTGCGACCCATAGGTAGTGACACCGTTCTCTCCATGGCCCATCGGAACGCCCGTCCCCCCCGCTGCCGCCGATGTTACTCCTCCATACCCTACCCCGTCCCCGTACGCTGACTGCTGAGGGAGCGACGAAGGCTGCATCCCTGTGTACGACAGGCTCGAGTTAGGGTAACCACCTCCCATGCCTCCTGAAGTGCCTCCATAACCTGCCTGGTTCCCACCAGCAGCTCCGGCGTTGTTTGCAGCGCCCGCTGCTGCTGCGGCGGCGGCCGCCGCCGCTGCCCTTCGGGCCTTCTCCGCGGCGGCGAGCTCCGTTCGCAGCTTCTCATTCTCCCTAGCCATGGAATCAAGATTCCTCTCCAGCGTCTGTCTGTTCTCCATCTGCTCCGCATTCATTCTCTTCTCGTACTCCAAATGAGTCGTCGCCTGTTGTAGTTCCTGCCGAAGCCCCTGTATCTCCTGCCGCAGGGAGGGGACTTGCTGAAGCTCCAACCTCATAGCGGGGATCTGTGCAAGCTCCTGACGAGCCTTGTGAAAATCCGCAGTTGCATCTTGCAGCTGCTCGATGGCTGTGATTCGCGCCTGCTCCGCGTCTTGAAGACGAGAGTGCAGATCTTGAAGCTCCATGCGCGCCGCACGCAACTCTTGCGCCAATGGCTCCGTTGCCCGCAGCTCCTCCAGCATCTTGGCGTTCTTTTCCATCAAGGTCCGCACGCTCGCCTCTTTCTCCGCCTGATGGTTCGCCAGCGCCTGCTGCATACGCTGAACCTCCGCTTGAGCAGCCGCCAGCTCCTGACGGAGTCCAACGAGTGTAGCCGCTAGCCTTTGGTTCTCCGTCGATAACCGCTGCATTTCTGTATGTGCAGTCGCTAGCTTGTGCTCCATGGCTACAGGCGCAGACACCGCCTGCTGCTGCCCCCCACTCCCCACGACGTAATACGCTTGCTGATTAGGACCACCGCCAGAGGGGACAGGCCTCATCATCGCGTTGAAAGGCGCGCCCGCCATACCACGTTGCATCATCGATCCAGAGAGCGGGCCACCCGTTCCCTGCGGACCGGCCATACCTCGGGGAGGCAGCCTCCCCCGATTATCCATGGCACACAGAAACCCTCAGCTTACGTGAACTATCAGCCAGCGAGTCGCGCCAGGCGAGAGGTGCAAAAACGAAGAAGGAAAAATGAGGGAAACGAAAGTACCGAAACAGAAAACTTGACAAGAGAGAGATAAAAGAGAGGCAGGAGAAAAGGTAGAAAAAAAGGAAGGGGCAGGAGAGAAGCTCGAGCGAAGGGGAAGACGGAAGGGTGGTATGGAGAACGGCACACCTCTCCCAGACGGGAGCGCGTGCAAACGGTTGGGCTGTTTCCTATCTTGAACGACGAATAACAAGCACAGCAGCGGTGAACAGTAGCTCCACTCCGTCAGTCAGTTGGCTCGTACATTTGTGGTGGAGCGTCGGCAGGCAGCGAGCGACGGAGCAAGATACCATTCATTGCCGAATACTTCGACACCCTATACCTCAACGCTCTCCCCCTTCCTGCTTCTACTCTCTCCGACCCTGACTTCCCTCTCGTCCTCGTTCTTCCCATCAGGAGACGGCTTTCTCGTCGACAAGCGCAACCAGCGGTAGGCTTCCCCGCAGCCGATACCTCCTTGGGCGGCATTAGGCGACGACCTTTGCCACGGCCTCGCTGTTTCTTGCGCCGCCAGCGAACGACGGACCGGATTTCTCCTCCACACCGCCGCAGTAGCTTAGACAGATGCTACAAACACCGGAACCCTATGGCCGGTGTGAATGGCTCTCAGCCTACGTACGTACTTGGAAAATTCAGGAGGGCAAAGATGAGAGACACCAGAGTGAAAGTCGTGCCTTCGCATAGACACTCGGTTCCAGCCGTCCTCCCTCTGCCTTCGCGCCCAGTCGAGCCCCGCCCCTCGGGGGCTACCCTGAGCCACCAGCCTGCACCAGCCCCCCGTGCCGCTCGACACTCCGCTCAGCCGTCCGGACGGGTGGGCATGAATAACCAGGCCCCATTCTTGGTTTTTGTGGGAAAATAGAACGGATGTGGACCGAACCCGATGGAACCTGCCCGTTAGTCACAGACATAGCACCACTTGGCACTTTGCAGGGGAAAATAGAACGGATGTGGACCGAACCCAAAGGAACCTGCCCGTTAGTCACAGACATAGCACCACTTCGCCCTGCGGGGGGTGCATTTTAATATACGCGAGGCAGGTCTTTTCGCCGTTGGGTCTACCTGTCTTCCGGGGCACCGAGCGTCCACCGTCGCAGGTTGGCCTTTTCCGTTTTCTCTTTTCCATTTTTTAGTCCAATTTACAAAATACCTTTCTCTTTTGGGAAAATTTTTGAAATGCCCCTAAAGTTTGCGTTTATTTGCTGCGTGCCCCTGTGAAGGCCGACTTACCCTGTTATGCCCCTCGGGCCTCTGAAATTTTCCGCAGGCCCCTGTCAGCATGGGGCGTAACTTTCCAATATGCCCTTACTGGACCGCGGGTGGCGTTTCGTCGGTCCGTCCTTGAAATGCCCTCACGAGGGGCACACATCTTTCTGTGATGCCCTTGCAGGAGTGGGGACAGGAATTCGAACTCGAAAATGGTAGGTATTTCACGTGCCGCCAGGGAAAAAGGGTGCCGCAGTCAGTCTTCAAGTTCGCCGCGCCATGGATCGCTGCTCCCTCCTCCTCCACCCATGCTCATCACCCTCCTCCCTCCTCCTCCATCCATGCTCGTCGCTCTCCTCTCTTCTCCTCCAGCCTCCATCCTC